CTTCCAACCTAGTGGGGCGACCTGCCCTTTCATGGACATCGAATGCACACCATGACCCGCACGATATGTAAGATGGTATGGAAAACAAGCTTCCAATTCGATTCGCCTATAATTAGGTACTTCAAGGGTTAAAGTATTTAGGATCTCCAGAAAGCCAAGTATTCTTCAAGATATGTTCATATTTTTCTCCTGTTACTCTTCTTGGGGCATAAGTCATATCATTATTTTTATTACAGCTAAGTGGGTGATAGCCTGTCCTTAGTGAAACAGTGCTGTTATTATTTCCCTACCATAAATCCTCACAGTGTACTCTTAATCTAATGTATGGATATGTTCGACAAGTGTGTGTGTGTGTGATTATTACAACATTAAGAATATGTCTCATTTGGGAGCATTGATATATCTGTGCTCTACAATTCCATAACAGAACTCATGTATATGTATGTATGTGTGTTTGTATACAAATGTACTTCATATGTAAGTTGTTTAGCAAACAAAAGTACTTATTTGTTGCCACTGGGCTGCTCTAGTTCTTCATCGGCAAGCATAAGTTTGCTCTTTATCGCCACCATTCAATTCTCTTTAGTAGTAGAAGTAGTCTCCACTGACCTTTCGGAAGCTATGAATTTCAATATTGTCGGTCGGTAATGTCTTCATTATTATTATTATCGTCATCAAACTACATGAGCTGTAGACGTTTTGTTGTATTGCTTAGTGAAGGAGTGAGGGAGGTGAGGAGTATTGCTGTGATTGAGGGAGGTCAGTACGGTGATCTAAGAAATCAATGGCAATGTTATGATTTGTGGTTTTTGTTTGTTCAATTAAATTAAATTTGATGGAAGAGCGAGGGGAGGGTGGGCGAGAGAGGCACGTCGAGTATGAATAAAACTATGGGGGAGTGGGACACACACACACACACATTAAACTTGACTCAGATCTTGTGTTGAACTTAATTATGTTTAAATGCTTGTATGTTAGAAACAAACTAACCCACAATTTTATTCTTAAACACTTGACAAAATTAAATCAAATCAAATGAAGATGATATGTATGTTTGCATGTGTGTCCATAAATAATTATATGTGAAATGTTAAATTGAAATACTAAATATTCTGTATTTATGGATTTAAACTAAATGTGTCCACTTAATTAAATGTCATATTAGTTTAAATCAAGCATGAATAAATAATTCAATATGAAATGTGATAATGCATTTGGTCATGGCTCAATAAATATTCAGAACATAGGAGTAGATAAAGCTTTTCAATTTAATAGTTATTTAACAAAAAAAAAAAACAAATAGATGTCAATTTGAAAAAAAAACTTTTTCTGATAGAGATACCAAAGTTAGCATTTATAAAAATAACGGGTGACCCTAGATAAAAAGTGTAGAATTTTATAAAATATTTATATATGTAATTTTTGTTATTAAACTTTGTTTTCAATTTGCTATGATTATTGTAGGACAAAAAGTTAATCCTTGACTAACCCTCAAAAAATGCCAGCCAATCTCTTATATTACTGCATTTTATTATATAGTTAAAGGATAAACTCTAAATGAATATTCCTTATTGTCATGTATGCACATGTTGTCACCTGTTTCTTTTTCTATAGTTTTTCTATTTTATCGGAATGTGTAATCACGTGAAGTCCTTCTTAATTTATTATTCTTCATCATGACCTTTTAATAAGACCGAGATAAGGTGGCATTTTTTCCACTCGGTTACATATAAATTGTTATTAACAAATAACGATTTAAATAAATGACAGGAAACATGCGTAGCATATGGTTTAGAAAGGTAAATTAAATAATATGAGGACTACTAAAACTTTGTAAGGACGAAGAATACAATGAAGGATATTTTTCAACACCCAATTGTGGCTTGGATTTTTTAAACAATATTTTTCTACTTCAAATTAAGGCGTTGATTTTTTTAAAAATTATTTATTCAACATCCTATTAAGGCGCGTGGACTTTTTAACAAAATATTTTTTCAACATCAAATTGAGGTGTGGAATTTTTATACCCCACACAACTATGTTGTCAGGTTATTATGGCTTTGTACAGCCCCAAGAGTTTGTAACGCCGTTAAATATTGATCTTAGACCCACCTTTAAGTATACAGATCGTCATATCTCGACTAGCTGAGTCGATCTAGAAATGTGTGTCGCCCATTATAATTTGTAAACACGATACATGCCACAGTTATGGACCTATCTTCACGAAATTTTGCACGTAGGAAGGGTTCTGGTCAATGAAGAGATTGGTAAAGATCGGTTAATATTTAGGGGATGATATTGACCAAATACTTAATTTTTGTCGGTTGTTCTGTTCGCTCTAGAGGCCGCAAATATGACAAGAACATAGGGAAATTTTACTTGGAGAAGAGGATTGGGCCAAAAAATATGCATGCCTACTTTGATCAAGATCGGTTAATATTTAGCTGGTCCAATGGACTCTGACTTTTGTGTGACAAAATTACAAAATTTGTACTCTATGGCGTATACATTTTCTCCTGAAGGATATATACCCGAGGAGTTGGTTGACCTTTAAATTGATACCAATTATATTGTCGTATGTACTCGGAAGTGGGAGTTACACTCAAATATTTACAGGTGCTTACTTATTCTGATATTATTTAGTTACCCATTACCACATTAGAGGGCGGAAATATAGCGTTGATCGCATAAAAATTTTCCACGAAGTTCCAATTATCGATAAGGACAACGCCTATAATTTTCGGTGATGATCAGATTAAAATTTTGAGATGAAGTGAACCGAAAACTTAATTTTTTTGTGTGTTTTCTAATCGAGTATAAGCCGAACATCACAACACAACCCACCGTGAAGGGATTATGGACATGTAATTAGACGAGCTGTTCTGAATATTTGTAATATTCGGAAAATGTGGAGAAGATGTACTGTTGATCTCTAATCGGACAAATCGGGGCAAATATCACGAAATATTGCCCGCAGAAAGTTAGAGTTCCGTGGTAGTTGTGTAGGGTATCGTATGGCCGTCCGACTATATTGCTCATTGGTTTTTAAATATATTTCAATATTCAAGTGAGGCGTGGATAGGTGGGATTTTCTTTTTTTAATATATTTTCAACAGGCAATTGAAGCGGTGATTTTTTTATAAAAATATTTTTTTCAACATCCACCAACAAAATATTTTTTGGTGATATTTTAAAAGAATTTGTACAACATGCAATTGCCATTTTTTTTTAAATTTTTAACAATATTTTTAAACAACCATAAAATAGAGAATTTATAAAACGACTTTTAGCAATAAAGTGGATAGTTTAAAATATGTTTTCGACCACCTCCAAAACTATCAACAGCACTGATTTTTTTAAAGTAATTTCTTTATTTTAACGAAAATATGGATTAAATAGTATTTTTATCAAAATCGTTAGATTCGTGGACATTAAACAAAAAAAAAATGCCTCAAGCGGACGTGTGGATTCTTTTTTCACCTTTCACAACTATTTTATTGTTTTATAGTATTTATGACCATAGTTTTTAATTTCTCCTTTGTATTGAAAATTTTCCATTCCCTGTTTTTAATTCGTCTTTCTTTTTTATCACGATCAAACACACGTCATCAAATCTTTGTTTCCATTATAATTATCATTTGTTTTATAATTATTTCTTTGGGATCTTGTTAACGACTTGTTGTTTATAAATACCCTACAAACGAATGAGAATATTCCCTAGGGGGCAATTACAGTGTCAATCCCGTAAATCAAAAAATTACTAATTTCCTTAACAGATTAGAGAAGATTTGCCACAGTTAAAAAAATAATGACAACTTTTTGCCACGCCATGCCAGACAGTGAATAGGGTGATATTGTAATTGATTAGCAGGTTATGATAAATATGATAAATTATAAAATACAGTGGGACATGGTAATAATAAATATTTCTTAGTTACAGTTTCTAAGATTTTATTTTGTAATATTTTCCAGAATATCTATGTTATAAGGGAATTAAGCAGAATTTATTATAATTTATAACGAATGCATAACAATTTATTTAGAATTATGTCCCACTGTACTGAAATACACATATATTAATATAATAATTTATTACACTGATTTGTTTATTGCTTAGTATTTTTTCTACTTCTCTCTATATAGGTGTTTTATATGGAAATAAATATAATAATTAAAGAAAATTACAAAATGAATTCAATTCAATAGATTTCCGGTCTTTTATTTTCTACTTACAGATCCATCACTTATGCTGCGCTAAGCCAAAGGAAAAAAAAATAAAACGTATCTCCGCAGTAATAACTTGGCAAGTGATTGTGGCAGGTGTACGTACAGCAGCATCGAACATTTGTAATGATTACTTAAAACATTTGCATAAAACATCAGCAGCTACCAGTCAGAAGGTCGCAATCACAGAAGGTGGTGCAGAAGAAGAAAACCTCCAATAAGACCACCACCAACTACAGCAGGACCCACAAGGTGTACCACCCACCGAACGTCAATTAATAACACAGCCGCCCACACATACACAGGAGCCTGCACGGCGCGAAAACATATATCAAACGCACATTTTACAACACATCACAACCAACACGGATATAGTTGTTGTTTTTGTTGGAATTCTCCAAGTTCTCCCAACTGCCATATAAATAGAAGCTCAAAATCACACATTCGCAAGGAATGGTTATTTTTTAAAAGAAACCAAAAGGAAAAAGAAAAACGTTACCAATTCAATTTTCATGCGGTAATACTACCATTTGGCTGGTCCATTACTCGTTCGCACACACACACGCATGCAAACATATAAGTGTGTACCATACACACACATTCCTTGAAGTTCTAGTAAAATAAAGAAAAATAATCACAACCAAAGTGAAAGGAAATTAAAAAAGAAGAGTTTTCCGTCATCAACGACACGGCTTGGCCAAAGCAGCAGCAGCACAGCAGCATCATCATCCCCAGCTATCCATCTCACCATCACCATCATTGTGGCAAATAGAAGTCCTGGCGACTTGGCGACTTCATAATGGATTTGAAAACCTCAAGTATAAGTGAAATATCTGATCCATATATACCCTCAAGCAAATCAACGGATCTAATAAAGCCAAAGGATGCATTGGAAAAGGAAGCATCTTCAGCGGCACCGAATAATGAAGGTAATATATAATAATGTGAAATAGTAGCTACTAAGAGTAGATTTAAGCGGATATAATGGGGAACGTGAGGGGAGGTGTGGGGATGAAGGTTAGTTTATTCTAATTGCTTGAGACTGCAAAGGTAGAAGGGAGATTGTGGCCTTCCTTTTATCCATGCCTATGAATGAATATTTTGTAGCATGTTAACCTTTGATAATAATACTCCTGGCGAAAGTTTAAGCATTTAGTTGTTGTAACAGTGGTTTTCGTTGCAACTTTGGAAAAAGGAAACATAATTTTTGGAGGAAGGAAAGAAACTTTTGGTATTATCTTAAAAGGATATTCTCGTCATTACAAAGACAAGAGGAATTCCAAGGTAAATAACTTTTGGCAGATTCAGAAAAAAAAAATTAAAAAACCTGACAAAATCAAAATCTAGAGTCTCTCGCATTTGTGGACATCAAATTTTATAAAATTAGGAAATTATTATTAAGTGGTTGGCCTTGATGCAAGTCCTTTCGATTGTGTAGTAGGGGGTTCTCTTAAATTTGTACTTTTGTTGGGGACATACACGTGGACCTATATAGTCCCTAGAAGTTGATAAAGGTTTGAGGAAATATTTAGATTTATTTTTTGAAATTCAATTGAAGCGTAGATGTTTTGCAAACAATATTTTTTTAGGTTAGGTTGAAAAGAGGGGTGGTTTCTAACACCACATGTCCAATATGTTATTTCATACATAATTGGGTCCGGAAGCTTGAAAAAGCTGGACAGTGGCACAGAAAATGCTCTAACGTTTCGCTGTCTTCTCCAAACGATCTACACTTGTGCTTTCCCTCCCATTAAATCCTGCGAAATAACCACATCAGAATAATATATGTCGATTTAACCATACCCGTCCGTCTGTCTGTTAAACTCACGATAGAGCTCGTAATATTTATGATAGAGCTTTGACATTTTGTACATACATTGCAACAACTTCTAGGATGATTGGTATTGAAATTGGGATATATCGATCCTATACTCCCCAATATTAGGTATTTTAAAGTATTTATGCACGCTTTTAATCGAATCGGCTGTAATTTTATATTAGGAATTCTAAATGAACAGAAAATCTTTCGAAATTATTATATACAATATCTCCCAATAACACCTTTTTTTGAGGCCTATGGGCACGTTTTGCAATCTAATCAGCTGTTCTGACCGGATAGAAATCTTTCCAACTACATATTGTCTATATTGATCCACTTTTTGTGGTAGACCATCTAAAGCGGCATTTTTCTAATTTCTGTATTTGGCCAAGTTTTTCAATCGACGTGGCACTGATAGTATTATTGAGTAGAAGAGGATCTACTTTTATATTTTGGATTATCATTGGTTAGAAAATTTGCCAACCAATTAATATTGACCCAAGCTTAAGGGTAGAACCCATAAAACGGTAGTTCTCAAATTTCAGTATTTGGATTACAAAAAATTAAAATAATCGTTCCACGCTTTGGTAAAATTTGGCATTACCGATTCTAGCAGATTTGACTTTGGCCGGTCCCTGAACATTATCTGTATTTTTGACCGCATTTTCCAACCGAAAAATATTTTAATTTACATTCCGGGTTCCTAAGAAATTAATCTACCAAAGTGGCTGTAATTTTATAGTACGACAGAAATGGATGTAATAAATAAAGCCCCTCGTACAAAGTTCCCGCTTAATTTTCGATGTGTTCTTCTACTTGATCTTTCAATCGTGACCTTCCCCTTCCCTGTTGGCTCGTTTTTAAATGCCTTTGGAGCTAGGGCATTCTTATCCATTCTAACAACATGATCTTCCACTTGATATATATGTATATATATAGATGGTAGATGCATCTTTCGGAGAATTTTTCTCTCAAACCCTCTAAGAGCTGCCTGATCTGCTTGCGCAAGCATCCATGCTACAGATCCATACACCAGCGCGTTAGTATCAGCGTATTGTATAGTGTATGTTTGGTCTGGCGAGAGTTGGCCTTGTTATTAAATTGCTCACTCAGATCACAGTAGAATCAGTTGGGCAACACTATTTCTCTCCGAATTTCATTAGTTTTATTTATGGCGGTACTGATGTATATAAAATCGTTGTCTATCTCAATTCTCTAGTTTTCAAGTTTCACAGACATCTTGACATTACGGGACATCTTGAATTAATTACAATCCATTATGTTTTTCCGCCTGCTGAAATTTAACCCATTCTTGCACTTCCTAAAACCACTGTTCTCCCATGGATGTAGAATCCTCTCGCACGTAAGTGTTATTTTACTATAGCATAACAATTTGTCTTGCTGCAGCTCCTCTGCTGCTGTTGTTGTTGGTTCCGCTCAATTTGTTCTATTCAGCTGGACGAGTGTTTTGTTTGAATAAAACTTGACCTGAGCAAAGAGACAACAGCAAAAAAAAAATAATAACAAAAAAGACAACAAAAATTGTCATCATTGCGACATGATGATGATGATGACACGATGTCGCAGTCGTTGTTCTGGTCGCTATAGCTTCCATTTGTATATATGGGGGGTACATAGTAGAATCTTTTGTTCCGTTGTTGTTTTTCTTTACTTTCGTTTTTCATAGGAAATCAAAAAGCACTTGACCTTACCTTTTTACCAGATGTAATCTTTTGCATCGTACAAACAAGCAAACCGAACCAAGTGAGCACATTGGTTGGCTCACTTGCTAGGCTCAACAGAACAAAAAAACAACCGACTACAACTATGTGCATTACCTTCATCGTGAACAGAAAAAAACAGGTGGCAAATGGCATGGTTGTGGGGTTATCGTATGACCGCTGCATACTTTTAGGCTACTACAAAATAATAAAAAATGTGCCAAAAATAGGACTCGTATGTGATTGTAGTGAAAATGGTTGTGTTTGAGAATAAATGAGGAAATATAACAACAGTTTAGTGGTCTGATAAATGCCCTGGGGTTTAATCAATAGTGGAGGGATTTTTTTAAATGAAATTTTAAAAGCGTTCAACTGTCAATAATTTTTCTTACATATTTTGTATTCCAGGCCATTCTTCGTAAATTCTCTTGGAAATTTATTAATTACATTATGAATTTCGTTTCCAAATGTTAATTTTTCTGATATCGAATTCAAGGCTATATTTGATACAAAGCACCACTGAGAAATTTTATAATTCGAAATAACAAATCGTTGCCTATTTCTAACCATGGGCTTTATGCGGAGATTCAAACTTTGGCCTTTTTATTATTTCCCCAGAATTGATTTCTTAACTTCGGAAGAAGTTTTTACTTAAACAATCATTTGTTCGTTTTCTGAAGTCAATATTAAATTATTTATATATTGTAGGGTGTATGCGTGATGCATACTTTTAGGCCCTAGAAAAATTGTATTTATATTTGTAGACTGTTCGTTTTGTGAACCCATTAAATTCATGCATGCCGAAGCTTAAGCTTACATCAAATAAATATTACAGTGTTAAGCCATCAATATTATGCCTCGCCGAAATATTGGTTATTATACCCTCATGTGTCTTTGGTCCAAAACCGTTTCAGATAGTTTGTCGTCGATTTAGAAGTTTCCGTCGGTATGCCTCACTGACACACGATAATAATACTAAAAGATAAAAACCAATTCCACATATCGTGATATATCCTCCAAATTTAAATCCAGATTAGTTAATTCTTTTTGGATGTCTGTTGCATACTTTTAGGCTAAACGAAACTGTAAATCATATGTATTTTAAGTCATGTAGTTGTTAAATGTTTCCCTGCACTTGCTGCAATATTTCCCAAATTTTGTTAGATAAAATAAGTTTTATCCTCCTCACATCATCTTAACCTTAATTTAATCACTTGTGAAAACAGCTGTTTTGGAAACTAATCATTGTTAAATCAATTTCCGCAAATTAGAACCCATTTATCCGCATCTATTCGCAAAATTAATTTTTCTTTTACAACAATTTTCCTCTTGCTTCTTTTTTTCCTTTATGGATCTCCTATGTGGTTAATATTAAAACGCTGATGCTGTAGAAGGATAAAAAACTAACCAGGCATTTATAGTTGTTGGTATGTGCCTGCTTGGTTGGTTGGCCATAACTTTTAGTTGGCTTTTGTTATTTTACATTAGTTTTTGGTTAAAAAAAAGTGCAATTACTTGACTATCTGGTGGTGGTACTGCTGCTGCCGCTTTTGGTAATGATGGTGGTAATGCTTCAATGAACGTTTTCTGTTCTTCTTGTGTTTCAAGAACAAAGAGCGACAGACATAGAGGCTCTGGCATCAGCCAACACCAAGCACCAGCAGACATAAAAGTTTTGTCTTAGCTTTTCGGGGGAAATAAGCGAATTGTGGGATCTTCTTTAGCGTATGACGGCTATGTGTGTGTGTTTTGAGGAAAACTCAAAGTTTTCTCTTATTGTTCTTTACAAAAATTGTATATATAAAAAAATTGTTCGTTCTTTTAATTTGTACTACCAACAAACCATGAATAAAGTTTATCTTTCCTTATTTTTGTGTTCATGTTTTTTCTTCTTCTTCTTCTCTTCTTTTTTTGCAGAATTTAAAGTGTACAAACGCCGCTGGGCCGTTTTAATATTGTTTGCATTTTACTCAGCCTCAAATTCCATGCAATGGATCCAATACAGTATTATCAACAATATTGTCAGTCGGTAAGTTTTCACTTTCTTCTTTTTCGGTTGTTGTGTTCTAACGGCTGTTACCTAACCAATATTCCAAGCAAACCAAAACTAAACTTGCCGAAATTACCAACACCTACTTTTTACAAATTTAATATAGTACTTTAACTTATTTCAAAATGTTTATGAACTCCTTAAAGAGCTGTTGGCAGGGAGCTATTGAAGTGTGGCATAAGCACATTACCCTAATAATTTATATAAACACCATCGTAACAGCTTCGGCAAATATTCCAGACATAATAACGACTTGGGTTTTTTTTCCAATGACGAGCATTAAAAGGAAAAGTTTGGGTGGAAATTTTGTAAACACTTTTCAGACTTCTCGCTCATAAAAGTCACCATCGTTAATGAGGCGAAACAAGTTAATTATGCGGTTATTATATGGAGCACTGTGCACCGTGTTTAAATGGCTAATAAAAATTTAGTACATAGAACCGGATATTTAGATTATAATTATCAACTTTATAATACATTTTAAACTTTTAATCTTCAAATGCTACAAAATAAAATAGAGATTAACAACTTTCATTGTCTGAAACGCGTTTTCAAGAAGGAGAGTTTCTGTGCAAGGAGATTGTTGTAATTATAACAAAAAAATGCTAATTTGTTTATATAAAAATATATGAGAATTTAGAAGGATACATACATTCGGGTTATATCTGATGCATACTTTTAGGCTACTGGAGTCAAATATCATTGAGAGTATGAAAAATCTTTCTATAACAACCGTCTGTCTTATGACCGATGCATACTTTTAGGTTACTGAAGTAAATAATCATTTTTAGGGTCCAGAATATTGGGCATTTGTGTTTTATTCATTTACTTCAATAAGTTATATATATATTTACTCCTGTTACCCATCTTGGGAGCATGAAACTTCCAAAAAATCATTGTCATCTTACTCGTTTAGTTTCTTTAATTAATATTTATTATTCTAGTTTAGTATATGATTAGTCAGCTGTAGGCTGTCCTAGGTGATAGGGCTGCCACTTAACTTTGCGTAGACACAAATTTGTGTGCAGTGGGTGTGGCCCCTTGCTTTTTTAGTTATGATTTTTTCCCTCTAGATCCTAGGTAATAGGGATGTCATCTAGGTTGCCTAGAAACAACGCCCCCTTGAAGGAGTTTGTGCAGTGGTTGGAGTCCTTGCTTACCTAGTGTTGCCATTTTCCTATGGATGGCGCTATCTCCTCTCATTCTTATTTGGCATCCTTGATACATTTAATGTCGTCATTTGCCTCTGATAGCGCCACCTATCACCAGCAATTCATATTTTGTGTTACCTAATGTATTTCATGGATGGGGAAGTATCTTAGTAAAAAAAATCGAAAACCACTTTTTCCTCCATTGTTGTGATCGGAACCCTTACTCGATTAGTCCTTGTGTTTTTATTTTAAGATAAATAGATTATAGGTCTGATGATGCCTTCCCAGGCGATGTGGTTGCCATCTAGCATTGCCTAGAATCAACTCCAGAAACATTTCCTTTTAAAATCACCACCAAATGACCTTCTACGCCTCTTGAACCTCAACTTCAAGAGGCCTTTTAAGGCTCAATAAAAATGTACACCTTTTCGACCTCCAAATACCAACTACGGGTTTAGAAAAAATAAACCAACTCATACAATTATTTTAGAAATCCATGTCGTAAGTCTTCTATGACTTACTTACTTACTTAGCTGGCTTGTTTACAGGACGGTTGTTCCATAAGCCGAGCTTAAAATAGATTTCCAAGCGCGTCGGTCTTGTGCGCAAGTTCACTAATTTGGAAGACCACGTTCCAAGATGTTGTTTTCTACTTCTATGACTTGCACTTTAAAAAACCAAACCTCAAGGCTTCTTAAAAATTATTTGTGGCCTCAATAAAAGTTTTTTTTTAGAATTTTTTTTCACCTAAAAGTTATTTTGAAAAAGAAAAAAATCCAAAACCTTAGCTTAGTCGAAATTAATGAAAATTGTTATAGTTACAGCTTCATATAAATATCTGGAAAGGGGTCTTAATTCTATTTAAAGAAGCCTTCGCTGAGTCTCCCTAAAATATGTATTTTCCTGTTTTCTCCTCAAACCACTGTGCATTTGGTAAAATAATGTAATATTTCATAATATTTCATAAAATACTTTCAATGCCAATCCAAAGAAAACAAAAGAACAGCCACCTCTCACTTGATGCATCCTTCCCCAGGAACCTCTCTCTTCCTCAGCTCAATTTTCATTGTCAATTGGAATTGAAAAGATATTAATTATTTCCTCCTTGCTGGTTGGTATTTATCTGCGACGATAGTCATTTCGTATTTGACTTTCGTTTTTATTTCACGATGTGTTGTTATTGTTGCTGCCGCCAATGTTGTTGATAAATATTTGTGTTCAGCATTTTCTCATTAAGGATGTTATTAAAATAATTAACAATTATTTGATGAGCATAACAAGGTGGGTGGGAGGGAGATAAAGATTGCTACGTGAGGGAACATTTGGAGGATATTTTGAGAGATGGAGGAGGAACAATTGATGTCGGTGATGGAAATGATTTCCTCTTTTGTGTTTGTGTTTTTTTCGTTTGGCGGTGTTTTTGTTATTTTTCGGTTGTCACAGGGATTCAAATGAAAATTTAATATACCGACTGTGGGTTTGTCGGGATATATGTTGGTGTGTTTCAATATCACCATCATTACGTTAATGAAAAATAAATATACTCAGCACCTGAGATGAGCAGAATAATAATGATGATGATGCTGACTGCATTGTCAAGATAAATTTTGTCAATATTCAGGATAATGATTTATTTGTGAGTTGGCGACAATGGAGGTGTCGAGTTGAGGAGTTGAAGTGATTTATGTTGACTTGATAAATTATAAATTTGTCAGTGTAAAATAGAATAAATTAATTATATCTTTTATCTATCAAAGTCACACATATTTTTAAGGTCCTTATTTATTTTGAAAAACCTTCCAAATTTATTAATTTTTCATTAACAAAAAAATAATCGAACTTATCTATTACGTAGTATTTCTAGAACAAAATTTTACTTATTTTTTTTAATTCTTATGAAAATCTATGCCTTAAGGCCTTTAAGTGCTACATAATTTTTTTAACCAATCTACGCTTTGAGGCCTATTAAGCCTTCATTTTAATTCTTTTAAAAAAACCAAGCCTTAAGCCCTACTAATTCTTTAAAAAAATCAACGCCTGAAGGCCATAAAAGGCCCCATAAAAATTATTCCGAAAGACCTTTTAAGGCCTTCTAAAAACCTCGACTTAATGCAATTTAAGGTCCTATAACATTATTCAAAAAATCCTCGCCGTAAGGCATTAAGGATCTATAAACATTTTTTTGAATTTACGTCTTTAGGTCTTTTAAGGCTACATAAAAAATCATATAAAAATCCACAGCTTAATGCCTTTAAGGCTCCCTATTTTTGAAGTCTACGCCTTATGGCCTTTAAATGCTCCCTATTTCTTTAAGTCTACGCCATATGGCCTTTTAATGCTCCCTATTTTTTTTAAGACTACGCCTTATGACCTTTAAATGCTCCCTATTTCTTTAAGTCTACGCCATATGGCCTCTTAAGACTCCCTATTTTTTAAATCTACGCCTTAAGGCCATACAAATTATTTTAAAAAGCCACGCCTTTATGCTTTTAAAGTCTCCATAACAAATTATTTTAAAATTTCACGCCTTTAGGCTTTTCATGTATCCATAAAAAATTATTTTAAAAATTCACGCCTTTAGGCCTATTAAGCTCCATAAAAATAGTTAGGCCTAAAGGCGAGGACTTTTTAAGGTTCCATAAAAATTATTTTAAAAATCACCTCCTTAACACCTTTAAGACTTTGATCGAACTTAGTGACTTTTTTATGTTGTCATTATAAATTTTGAATAATAATTTCAGTTGATTGTCTATCCATTCACTTCCAGATACTATGGTGTCAGCGACAAATGGATCGATTGGACATCAATGATATACATGATATTATATATACCACTGATATTTCCCGGCAGTTGGTTTCTAGATAAAATGGTAAGCAGATTTCACATTCGCACACATAATCTTCAAATCAATTTTTATTGCGATTTTAAATGGTTGTTTATTATTCCAACAATGTTGTGAATTTGATGTGATTTCAAAATTGATTTTCGTTGACATTCTTCTCTTCATCACCCCTCTTGTTTCAGGGATTACGTATCACAGCATTGGTGGGTGCATTTGGCACTTGTATAGGTGCCTGGGTAAAAGTATTTTCGGTTCAACCGGATTTATTTATGGTTGGCTTTGCTGGTCAAAGCATAGTGGCACTATCACAGGTAAGTTGATGAAATTCCCCCCACACACACACTCACACATCGTCACATCATTTTGATTCTTTCACACAAAAGTTCAAATGCATTTCAATTCAATTTTTGTGTTGAAAATCAACATGAAAACCTCATTTAGTTGAAGTGTCAAACTCTCGGGCTTTCTAGCTGTTTACATACACACGCACATGACTTTAATACACTTTCCAAATAATTGTCAAATGACATTCATTTTTGTTTACGTTTTTGGATTGACGAAAGATTTAATTCCTTTGCATTGTCCTCGAAATTATATTCAAATATATCTCTCCTGCTCTCTATTCCAATCTCAATAGGTGTGTATTTTGTCGCTGCCCGCACGTTTAGCTGCCGTTTGGTTTGGTCCCGATCAAGTATCATCAGCCTGCAGTGTTGGCGTTTTTGGCAATCAGGTAAGTTTTTCGCACAAACCGAACCACATTTTATTCTCTCAAATATCCAACAAAGAAACCTCGTGTTGTTATGCCACCTATTTTCCAATATGTAATTGTGTGTGTTTGCAGATAAATAATTAAAGACTATCTGCGGATATAAATGTAATTAAAGAGAAATAAGCAAGTCAATATTTAAGTGAAATCGAATTCTTGTGGAAAAACAAATTAACGCTACCACGATCATAAAGGACTATCATGACATTAATTAAACCAGTGAGCGGAACTGTATAGTCGGACGGGGCCGACCATATCAAGAGGATGCAAATATCGCGAAATATTGCCCAAGCTCAGAATATTGAACCACAGAAAGTTTTTCTTCGTGGAAGTTGTGTAGGGTATCACACAACAACCACGAAGAAAAACTTTCTGTGGTTCAATATTCTGAGCTTGGACAATATTTCGCGATATTTGCACCCTCTTGACCGACTAGAGGTCAACAAATATTACTAATATTCAGTACAATCCTTCTAATTACTTGTCGAGATTTCCTTCACCGTGGGTTGTGTTGTGATGTTCGGCTTTCAATTGTGGCCTATAGATCGACTCGAAAAAAAAACAAAAAATTAAGTTTTCCGTCCACTTCATCCCAATATTATTATCTGATCATCACCAATAATTACAGACGTTTTCCTTGACCATAACTAAAACCTCATGGAAAATTTCAAAGCGATCAGCGAAATGTTCCCGACTTCTAGTGTACATATTATCAATTTAAAGGTCAACAACTCCTCTTGGATATACTATCAACTTCTCGGGTCTTTGTCCTTCAGGGGCAAATATATACTATTTAGCATACAATGTTTGTCATTTATAACACAAAATTAGGGTCCATTTGACCCGCTAAATATTTACCGATCTTTATCAAAGCAGGCGTGCTTATTCTTTAGCCCGATCACCTTCTCCGTGTACAATTTCGCGATGTTCGGGCAATAATTGCGGCCTCTGGAGCGACCAGAAAAAACGACAAAAAATTAGTATTTGGTCCAATTCGTCCCTTAAATTTTAACCGATCTTTATCAAAAACAATAGGGGTCTTCATTAGCCAGAACCCATCTTACATGCAAAATTTCGTGAAGATTGGTCCGTAACTGTGGCCTGTATCGTGTTTACAAATTATAATGGACAGACGGACGGACGGACACACACGTCTAGATTGACTCAGCTAGTCGAGATAAGACGATCGGTATACTTAAAGGTGGGTCTAGGACCGATATTTCGCGGCGTTACAAACTCTTGGGGTTGCACAAAGCTATAATACCCTGACAACATAGTTGTGTAGGGTATAAAAAATATATTTTTTTTTAATCTAGGTTCAATAGATTTTAAAAATATATTTAAAAAATCTATCCTTCAATAGACCTCCGAAAAAATAATTTTAAAAATCTACACTGCAATAGACCTATGAAAAAAAAGAAAATCCATCTCCAAACAATTTTTTAAGAATTTCTCGCTTATAGATCTGAACCTTCCCAAAATTATTTTTAAAATCTATACTTATAGCACAAAATAGGGACTCTGCAAAAATATTTTTTTTATATTCGCTAAAACCACGCAATAATACTTCGATTTTTTTAATTCTAGTTTAAATCTCAAACAAACGTGTTTATAAAACAGCAAAAACCAATTCATCACCCTACATTTTATATGTGATAAAATGTTATAATATAAATTTACAACATTTCGATGACATTCTCTTCTTCATCCCGCGTAATAGTCACCTCATCACTCAACATCCTCTGCAATTTACAAAATTTACATATATCAACAGTTATTCTGTGACGACGATGATGCTGTAAACGATTTGTTGACTTTTGATGCTATTATTATTACTATGTTAGTTTTGGTTCTTCTCTTGGAAAACTCTGCGGGAATCTATGCCCCCATTGCACAGTTACCCCCCAAAAAATATATCATTTCAATAACTCGTCCATAACACAACATGCTGCCGGTTTGTTGATAATGGAATCTGCAGTTTGAGCTGAGTCGTGGTAACACACAGCAGAGCATCAGTTTGCCTTGTGTTTGATATGTTTTGAATTGATTTTGACAGTTAAACTTAGATGTCATGCTGATGTTTTGACATTTTGCTTATCTTGGGTGGGTGGGTGAACTTGAAATCGGGTTGACAATTTTTTTGAATAGAAATTTGAAATTTTATAAAAAATTTTGATTTAATTTTGGAATTCATAATGGCTGAATTTATGATCATATCTAGGAATCGACATTTTTTAGGAAAAGAAAATCTTTTCATCAACCCTTTATCAATTGTTTGATGTGGAGTGAAAAAATATTATTGGTAGCAACACTATTTGTAGCAGCTGTTGGAATTCTCAATCGATTTTGCTGAAGACATGTCATCTTAAATAAATAGACATGTCTTCAGCAAAATCCAATGATGATTTCTTTTAACTTCCAAGACATCCTTTCCATATAAATGAAAGTATCTTCTGTATAAAATAAGTTTTCTTCAGTATAAAACAGTTTTCTTACCAATGAAAAGATCCTTCGATATGTTCTTGAAATATTCAATGCTATTTTAAATACATAGTCTCATGTGCATATGTCCTCGCAAATAATTTCATAACTCGTTTATATTGAAATAATTTCATCTTCTATCTCACCTTCTCAAATTTTGTTTCTTGCTATGGTTTTTCTTTTTTCAAAGAAAATTTGAGAGTTTTTCTTCAAATTAAATATTCCTCACATTTTTCCCCTCTCAAAAACAAAGCTATGCCTGAAAAGTTCGCTAAATGGATAAAAAAACAAAACTCTGGCAAAGCCAAAAAGAAAATTATCGCACAACGAAAATTATTATTGAAAATATTTTCCAAATCCACTCAGCAGATTACTGAAGTGTTTTTTTAATGAGATGAAGAAAAATAAACGTATCAAAGCCAACAGAACTGTCTGAGTTTTAACAAATGGTGCGTGATAAAGATACAAACGTAACTAATATATATACACACATATTTGTTGGAAACGACGACGATTATGAGAGTGAGTGAAAGAAGAAAATTTTCTTTTTTTGTGTAATTGGGAAAATAATTCACAATTTCCACAAGAAAAAAATACCGTTAGCAATTTCCCTTAATCTCTATTCATGTGGAATTTCTTTTAAAGCTAAACTATTTGATAGTCACATGTGTCGACACACACACAAACATCCGCTCACACACAGGATGTAATACAATCTGCAATGTCAAAAGGTATTCTTTCGTTCATTTGTCATTCCATCGATGGAGAGATACTAGGAAATATTGTTAGAAATAGTGCAGTGTTGTTGTATTGCAATTTTCATCTCCTTCTTTTTTCATTCTTTACTAAGTTAAATAGAGGATCTATCACCAGATAACAAAAGATAGAAAAAAAACCCGAGATGCCTGATATATGTATGTGGCCCAGAGTCCGTACAGCAAAAATAGCAATATAGATTGCATGTAGGAGTAGGAATATGTAAATTGTGCTAAGCAATTGCCTTACTAACACACTCCCACATAGTGAAACTAGTCAGTAAGTGAAACTATTTTCATATGCAGTCGAGAAAAGGAAAATTGAAAGACATTTGAAATATCCCCACACAAAATAGTGAGACGATGACAGTTAGTTGGATGGATGGGCGGTAAATGGATGAAATCACGATCTTCTGTGGCATAAATTGGAAAATGTAAAACAATTCGACGAGTAACCCTGAGGAAGACAAGAGAAAGAAAAGAATGAAGTTAAGTTATAGGGGATTTTGTGAAATCGGTAATATGTAGAATAAAGGAGGAAAGATAGAGATGAAGGTGAAAAGAAAGGGAAGGGATAAAGGAAAGCCTATCTTAAGTCACCATTGGTAGAAAAAACCAAATCTCTTCTAAAGATGGAAAAAAATTCCCTAGGTTATATGTACAGACAAGAACTTCAAAACATCGACTAGAAATGGATGACCTTCTTGAGGTCACCTATATATAAAGCATCTTACTGATTTTTATTTTCATGGATCTTCTAGATATAGTATAGATAGAGTTATTTAGCAGACAGAATAAATTGCAGAGGTATTCACTAGACAGAATACCTTTCACATATCATCTACCGATAAAATATCTTTCAGTTAAAAAAATCAGTCCTGGGCATATATAGCCTTCTATAGATAGAAAATCTTATAGATGTCCACATTAATTAGAAAACCTTCCAGAGGTGTTCTATGCATAGACGACCTTCCAGAGGTCCTCAGAGGTAGATCTTTATATGCAAAAAGACCTTCACAAAACGTAAAAAGAAGAGAAACCTTATGAAGGTGTTCCGTAGATGGACCATGCCGGAATCTTCTATAAATAAGATTTATTCTGTAAAACTTTTCCAATATATACAATAGTTAGAAAATCATCCAGATGTGCTGTACACATACACGACCTTCCACCCTTCACAGGCCTTTAAAAAGATGGGAGGCATAATAATGGTGGTCCATTGATGGACTATCCAGGAATCTTCTTTAAATAAAATTTCGTCCCTGGGTCTAATACAAATATAAAATACCATGGTCTTCTGTAACAGAAACCCTTTCAAAAAAAGTATTCTATAGATTAAGATCTTACGAAGGTCTTTAGTAGACAAAGTTTTTAGAAACATTTTTGAAGGGGTATCAGAGCTATATTTGAATTTGATTTGAAGGACAATCATCGCTATAATTATTTGAAGTATATGAGAGCGGTAAAGATGAATTTTTACATAATATTTTTCGAAGGATATCGAAGATATTAGCCTGAATTTTTAAAGTATATTTTTGAACGTCTATCTGGACGGACTTCTGAAAATCTGTCAAAACTTCTAGTTTAGATTTTTCAAGAATATTTTTAAAGCCCTATCAGAGTTATATTCGTGGATGTTTAAAGAATAGTGCTTATCAGAGGTACTAGCGTGGATTTAAAAAAAAATATTTGGAGATCTAGTAGATCTATGTTTTGTCAGAGTTATAA